GCAACTAAGCCTCTTCTGTGCTCTACAGGGGAAGTGGATGTATAAACAAGAAGTTAAAAAAGAAGCCTTTTACAACACTTCCAGGACAGTTATTGAAAGGCAATTGAACTCCTCTTGAGAGTTTATCCCAGATACTTAAACATCTGGCTTTTAATGAAGAATTCATTAGCACCTTAAGTCAGAATTAATAATGGAAAGTGCATTGAGATTCTGAAAGAAAAACAATTGTTATTGCAAAGTATTAAACGTTGAGAAAAAGAAGCAGCTCCTTGGTGGCATGTAATAGTTACAGCTCTTATCCACAAATCGCTTAAAGCCACTTATAACCACTATTATTAGCTATAAAAGCCCACTTGGGTTTTATGAATGCTGCAGAACTGAGACAAAAAACTGCTTTGAAAAGAATGGTGTCTTGGTCATCATAAGTCTTTTGGCCTCAAAAGAAAAACTGAGATTATACCCATCCACTAACCTAGAAAAGCATCCAAAGACTTAAGTGAATGCATCTAGGAAGATTTCATTTTTAATTAGAACATAGCAGAATAACAGCAGCAAGCTGCAGTGATATCATCAAATCAAGGCTGTTTCTATGGTAACACCACCAACTCCCAGAAATTATCGTGTCAGTTTGCCATAAATAGAAGAAAAAAAAAATGAAAAAAAATTTTAAAAAAAAGAAAGAAAAAGGATTACTGGAGAAAGAGAATGAAGAGGAGAATCCAGTCCTCTCCTTTTGATGCTTATTGTCAATATGTTGTCAAGTTTTATTCTGAAAAAAAAATGTAGTGAGATAAAAGCCTAAGTCAAATTTACACTGCTCCTGCCACACATGTGAGGCCTTGAACACATTTTCTGAAGGCTTTTTAAGTGATTTTATGGGAAAAAAAAAACCAACACCCTGCAGTGCACTATTCTATACCGATTTCCATCCTTTAAGTGCTGTCTACAACATCGGTGAGCTCAAGACTGGTGTGGGAGAGAGAAATACTTTGGTCATAGATGCTGTATTTCCTCATTACCATTTTTCTGTTAGCTCTACACTTTGAAAGTTCAGTCTGAAAGGGATACAGCTAGAAAGAAAAGTAAGCAATGAATATCACAAACAGATGCTGTTCTTTCCCTCCATACACTTATCTGATTGCTTTCAGTCTGGTGCCTTCAGAAACCACATAAACATAAGAGAAACCACTCAAGTTCCTCCCAGGAATATCTGGAGATGTCCTATCTCTTTGAGGCTCAAGCATTTTTGCACTCTGGCACTTGGCAAGCTTGTTTCTCTGGCTGTCCTCATCACTGCAACACACTCCCTTCTACGGAGACAGTGCCTTTTCAATGAGTCAATTTTCCCCTCTCCAGCCATTCCTCCTGAAATTATCCATTATAATATTTTTGAGCCCTGGCATATCATGGCTAGTAATAGTACCTGAATGTCACACCATTACCTGTATCATTTGCTTCATATGTCATTTGCTTCATATGTACTGAGACAAGGAGGCACAAAATTAAATACAAACCTTTGTAAATAAGTAGAATCAGTTCTAAGTAAGTTTGATGGTTTTGTAACAGTAGTAATAGAAAATAACTGAAGTACATGTTTTACAGAAGAAAAAAAAACATATAGTCAGAGTGCAGTTAGAGAACATAATGAGAATCCTTGTATAAGATAAACTGTTGTAGTTGACGTAGTTTTAGGTCCTTATGACCTTAGTACAAAAATAAGTGTAAGAAAACAGGATAGAAAAACCGGACGTGTAGATGAAGAGCATCTGAAACTAGCAGATATCCAGGATGGGCTGCAGCTAAACTAACTGATAAGTAGAAGGACAGGATGATTATGTCTGCAGCATTACTGAACCAATTAAACTGGTGTAAGCATTATCTACTGTGCGGGCTTCAAAGGCTGCCAGAAGTGCTGAAGATTGTTGGAAGAAGTAAAAGACCCCCAGAGACCACCACCACATTTCTGTACACGTGAAGGGAAACTTTCTGGAAGAATGATGTATTACATACACAGCGTCATGAATATGCATGTACGTACATAATGAATATGTATGAACAGTGACTATATAAGGACGGCTTGTTTAGCAGCTGGGGGACACGCGCTAGGTGGAGCTATCCCCCGTGTCTCCCGGCGCCGCAACAAAGAATATCTGCTTGTCAGCTTAAATTTTGTTGGCGAGTTCCTGGAAATTTCTCCAATTCAGCGCTGAGAAGAAAATCACCACTTAGAAGTAGTCCATGATAATAAATTATTATTGAATTTTATCTCATTGAATGACTGAAAGTAATAGCGTCACTTTGGACAAAACCAGGTGGTGGTACTATCAGTAACTGCTGCTGAGAATATTGACAGTGAATGTGATGATAGTCCTTCAAGTGTCATCTTTCCTCTTTAAAATTTGATTGAAAGTCCTATCTGTATATAGCACAGCAGAGGGCACTCCTTTCTCCAGGTCCCTACAATGAGTCTAGAGTACTTCAAGTGCTCTCATGGGCTGGAAGAGATAGCAACTACATTCAAAGGGAAAAATGCCTTTAAACATCTGTTAAAATGTTGATACCATCACTTGCAAAGAATATGTGTGAGCCCATTTGTTCCAACAGGACTTACATGAATATTTTTCCTATCAGCAGCCCATAAAATATTTCAGATTTTGGTGTTAAGTTCTGGAAAGCTGAGCAGGCATTTAATATATATTTAAATCTTGGTTTCAAATGAGGCTATACCTTTCTTTAGACATAAAGGGGGAAATTATTATTTCAAATAAAATCTGGAGTATTTGCAATAATATACCCAGATGGTAAAGCTGCAAATTTGCTTATGCAAACAAATCATGAGACCTGCTGCCTGTCCATCTCCTACTATCTAACAGCATAGACTGGTCCTTCTATATGAGCATGATTTTAAGGACTGCAGAGTTGAACAGTTTTTCAGGTCTGACTGGTGGTGAACTAGATAAAGAAGAGGAGTGGTTCAGAGACAGAGTATAAGGGAAGTATAATAATTTGCTCAGAAAACTCAGTTGTGCCTGAGTTACTGTCAGGAGCAGTAAGGACTACCTGGGCACTTGTACTCAAGGTGACAAAATAGAGACTTACGTTTCTCTTTGATTATGCTAATGCTTAAGCTGTACATGCAGTGTTAATAGCTGTGTTTGTCATGATGTAGGAGACTTTTGCTGTTCATCATCCTGTTCTAGGTAAACTCTGAGCTAAATCTTGTATTTGACATATCAATGCTTAAAAAAAGAAATGTTCAGAATAGTATGTTCAAAGCCCAGGATGTAGAAAAACAGTCATGCTGTTTCTTTGCTATAATGCGATAGCTGAAGCAAAAGGAATTTTGTGGGAGGAAATTGTTCACAAAGATCACAAAGTACCTTTCTATTTCAAGAAAGTGGCAAAGGAAACCATCCTCTTGAAACAGACTATTTGTCCCTACTAATTGTTATCTTCAAGTACACTCCCTCTGGTGGGGATGAAAAGGTTATACTCTGAAAAGTGAGATTCAAAAATGGTATTCTGATCCTCGCTATATTTCACTTTTCACACTAATTGCAGGCTAGCACCAGGCATGCTTTCAGCCCATTATTCTCTACAGAGGCCTGCTAATGGTATTTCATCTACTGCCTAATTCTACAGCTTTAACATGGAAAAATTCCTTTCAAATTCAATGCCAATGGAGAGGAAAGAGTAGGTCTGCCTTTCTGCTTTTTGTTTAGCTGTTCAGTAACTGGATAAACATTAACCAGCTGGGTAGTGCAATTATAATTTTTTTAAGGTACTGTAAATGCTTGCAACAGCATATTATCTGGCAGCCTCACAAATATTAATGAATGCATTCTTGTTCCACTCATGCTATTAAGAGCGATTAAGTACTTTCACAGAGGTCATGCAGAAAATGAACTTCAGAACCAAGCACTGAAGAAAAATCCAAACCTTTTTTACTAAGAAATACTTTTAAGACATCCCACAGCACAAACAGAAATAAGCAGAAGAAATACAATTAGCGGAGGAGTTGACATTAAGTACTAATTATTTACTATGAGCCTGAGTGTATTTAGACATCATTTTCAAAGAACTCAGCAAACAGCTTGTTCAACAAAATCAGGAGTAAGGGTTTAGGATTTGGATTTAAAACACTGGAAAAAAGTAAACACTAATATTCTCCTCTAGGGAAATCATCTCTACTAATTATTTGTCTGCAGCTTTCCTCAGTACTGCAGTCTCAACTGCATTTGTAAACATGGCTCCGTTGTTCTGTAACAAGCAACTCAGCCACTTCTAGGAGTTTCTTACTAAATATATTAGAGCAAAACTAAAGTTCCGAGTTATTATTAACTCTCTATGGAAATGACAGAATTGGTACAGACAACAAGGAAAAGATCAATATTTGGAGACAAACATAAGGGAATATAGCTGTTCATACGTGGGAATGTCTCTGTTAATTGTGGGGTTAGTTAAAAACTCATCAAACACAATGGTTGAGCTGTTATTGCAACAGAATTTTCAGCTGTTGAAAGCTATTCGGAAGTATAATCAAATGGCATGCTAAAAGCAAGAAACTTTTTTTTCCTCCTCTTAAGCTTCTAAGTTTCATGCATTTTTATGCAAAAACTATTTTTTACATTATGCTCAAATGCCTTGACCTATAGATTTAACATGCCATCTGAGTACACGTGTCAGATTGTTCTACTCAAAATGAGTAACAATACGCCAAATAGGAGATGTGGTTCTTCTTCATCTGTTTGGGACACTCTTTATCTCCTCTTAAATTGCTTCATTTACTTTGGGTCTTTTTCATTTTCTTGGGTGGGGTTTTGAGAGGTCTTGAAGATCACAGTACCATAAAAATGCTCTTAGTGAAGAAGGATATTTTTAAAGAGGAAAAGGTCAATTATATATTTGCTAAGAATGATTATCTGGTAGTGAACAAGTTATGAATGGGAGGAATTACCTATTTAGTAATTCTTTGAATTTGGTTTGGTTATTTAAAAAGATTGTTAGTAGTAAAAACAGACTAATCAAAATGAAGTTTCTCTTGCTACAAATCACTCTCCCACCAGATGCTATGGCAGGTCACCAAAGGCCATTCACATCTCTCCTGCCTAAAGGCTTCTTGGTACACAGCACAGAGATTCTGTTTCCTCCTGGTTTGTGTTAGGTTAGACTACACAATCGTGGTATCTTAGAAATTATAGGCTTATCATGAATACAGCTTTCCACAGAAGGGCTAAGACCAGAAATGTAAGGGTGCAAAACATCTCATTTAGGCTGTCAAGGCTGAAGGTCTGAGCTGGGGTTCAGCTGTGCAAAATATAGCAAGAGAATTAACTGTAGGAGAAAAATACCGAGTATAGCTCTTACATCACTCAGCACAGCCACTCAGAAAGTACACCCCACGTTGACATGAGAGACACATTCCCAACCTGTGGCAAAACCCAAAATATGTTTTGCAGTTGCTTCCAATATGGTACCAAGGAACCTCAGAGAACATCGCACTGGTAGCCTGCATCTCAGACAAGATGCAGAGGTTGTTCTTTTCTGAAGAAATGGATATATTGTTTGATCCATGATAAAATGTATTTGTCAAAAGTAAAAACATAATTTCAGTATAAAAAAAAAATTTAATAATTATGCAGATAAAACATATGGAAAATGAATTCGTATCTACACCCATGCTTCGTAAAATGTATCAGTGTTAGCTATAAATGTTTGAGGCAAGTTTTCTGTATTTGAAACACTTCAAATAATCTTAAATTGGTAGATCATAAAACCAAGGAAAAGCACATCCTATATATTAATTTGGGGTCAGTTTTGTCCCTGCTGCATTACCCTTCCTGTGATCTTGGATGCAGCTGTGAGGAGGAAGATTTCATATGTGAAACCAGAAGAAATGGGGGTTTCAGTGCACTAGCCTTCATAGATCTCCTTGCAGTTTGTACAGAAGTCGTTGGCCTCTTCCACTATCATTGTGTGTTCCGGAAGTGCCTTCATACCAATTCAGCATTGGAAAGGGAGCACTTCTTTTCACCTATGCCTTTTAGGAATGAAACTTATAATTCCTTGGCACGCAGCCCTGTAGTAATCTTTTAATACCATCTAATTCTCTACAGGTTTCTGTAACCAGCTACCACCATGCCAAGAGGCAAGTATTCTACACTTCAGTGTACCAAATGTATGGGAACCATGTACCATGGTTAAAGCTGATTATTTTAAACTAGATCAGTGCATAAACTTTGTACCAGCTGCACAGTTGAAAGTGGTCACTGTTGCACCATACAAATTCTGCTGGCATTATGTAGACCTGATTGGGAAGTGAAAGGAAGTGAAAGAAAAGCCATAAGAACAGGACAAAAACATTTTTTTCCTGCACTTTTGCAGCTTGTTATCATAGAATCATAGCATGGTTAGGGTTGGAAAGGACCTTTAGATCATCAAGTTCCAACCCCCCTGCCATGGGCAGGGACACCTCACACTAAATCATATCACCCAGGGCCTTGTCCAACCTGGTTTTGAACACTGCCAGGGATGGAGCATTCACAACCCCCCTGGGCAACCCATTCCAGTGCCTCACCACCCTAAGTTCCTTTTTATCGAAACCAGAAGGTGGACAAAGTCCATTTCAGCATTAGCAATCTAACAGCAAATCTCAGCTGAGATTAATTTGCATGAACAATAAAAGCTGTTTTTAAATGTGGGGGTTGTTTGTTTGTTTGTTTTTTAAGTAAATGCTTACTGTTTTTCCCCTGGGGCACTACCTATGGCACATTTGGCTTTGATTTGTGCTTTGGAGTTTAAACCAGTGACCCGCTGGAAATGGGTTTAAAGCTCTCTGACCCCTGTGGAAGCAACTGGAGCAGATACTTAGGACTGAGAATTATTTAGTCTGACAAGCAATCAGGAGACAATTTCCAGAATAATAAATCAAACTCACACCTTGGGACAAACAGGACAGAGATCCTGGTTTTATGGCCCAGAAATCGGATTTTATGTCCCCTGCCCTGATGGGCAGAGGTGTCTCAGCCCATCAGTGACCGCCATCAGTCTCAGAGGCTGATATTGCATTGTCCGGATCCCAAATGACAGTGATTTGTCCAGACTGCTTTATAATCAAGCAGGGCAATGAAAAAAAAAAAAAAAAATTTTACATTTCTACAACTAAGCAGGTTTTCCCAAGAAGATGGACTTACCTCTCAGCCACCTGCAAGCACCATCCAAAGGCCACCAGGCAGACAAGAACACACACTATGATCTTTAAGTTAGTCAGCAGCATCCCCATTCCTGGGGCTTTTGCTGCATGACAAAACGGGGATGTCTCATTCTTCCAGCTGGCTGGAAGACCACTCAGCAGCAGTTCCCTCACCCTGACAAGGAAGGCTCGCTAGTGTGAGGCCTTAACATTTCCATATGCAAACTGCCTTGAAAAAATACAGAACAGGATTTTTTTTTTCTTATCCTTCTGCAAATGCTTCTAAGTGCATAATCTAGGGCACAAGAAACAAGGGCACCCAGGCAGCTCCAAGGGCAGGCCTTCAGAAGGCTGCTGGGCAGGAGCAGTTTGGCGGGCAGATGGCCTTTGGCAGTGGGACAGGGTAGCAACAGCTACCTGCCTATGAGGCAGCATTTTGGCTTCCATATGGGCTTTTAAAGACAACCAGCTCCACCAAGGCACCTGCCTGCGTGAGGGCGCGCCAGGCCGCAGCAGGGCTTCACCCAGCCGAGAGTGAAGTTGGAACTTCGTGAAGGGTGAAGATGGAACACGGGGCCCGAGGGGGGACGCTCTGGCAGCGCCTCCTCTCCTAGGGACAATACCGCGGAGGTACGGCCAGGCCCTGGGCCGTGGTGCTGCCTCCCGCGGGCGCTGTGGGGCGGCGCCGGCTCCCGGCGCTGGGGTTCTGCTGCCGCCAGACCCGGCCAGATGCGGCCGGCGGTCACCTGCCTCCCTGCGCTCCCCTCTCTCGCTCGGGCCGGTCTCTGTGTTAAACTGTTACTTAAAGAAAACACAACTGTCACTGCCCCGAGGATCGGAACCGGCTTTTTTCCCCTCAAAATCTTAAGATCCTTCCCCCCGCCTCCCAGCCAACTCCCACCTCCCCTGAGGGGAGGCGGGCGGGCGGGCGGCCGCCATACCTGGCGCCCTCTGCCCGGGGAGGAGCGCGCTGCACCGCCCGGCCCCACGGCACCGGCCGCTGAGCAGGTGGGCACGGAGCGGCTGGGGCTGGGGGGGTTCCGGTGCCTGCGACCGGCCTCGCAGCAGCACTCAGCCGGGGTGAGGGCAGGCAGGGGTCCGCGGTGGGCGAGTCGGGCCGGAGGCTGCAGCTCCGCGGGGGGCGAGACAGCTCCGCGCACAAACTTGCTCGGCTGCGGTTCGTAAACGGCCGCGTCCCCTGGGCTCTGCTGCCCCTCCGGGCAGGGCCTTGCCCCAGGCTGCGGCGGGGGGAGAAGGGCACGGGGATACCCCCGCCTTTGGGGATGCGGTTACCCAGAGCGGTGGAGGAAGCGTGGCTGCTGCTAGGTACGGGGAGTGCGTGGCGCTGCTCGCCGGGTTCACCAAGTAAAGGGAAACGGCTGTTTGCAGGCGGCGGTGGATAGGAAGAACTTTTTCCCCGAGCTCTCGCCCTTGAAATAGGTGTGCTGGAATAGGTCAGCTGAGAAACCGGGGTTGCGTAATTGGAAAAGCTATTGTGTGTTAAGTGCTGATATACCTGTTGCAGGGGGGAATGCTGGAGAAGTGTTGGAAAGAAGTTCTTAAAGATTTAGTAACAATTAACATGGATAAAAATAAGGCTAAAACCTCACTTTTGCACCAGCCTGTTGGTGCTCATACAGAGAGAGAAGGAATGTGTTGATAAAGGGTAGGTAGCAAGAGGGTTTTCTGTTATTATTCTTAGAATATGCTCTATCAAAGGTATTGCAGTGGTAGGTTATTTCACAGCATCTCTGCCCATGCAGAGAGGAGTGGAGGAAGGGGTGTTTATGTCCCACAAGGAGTTCAGGAGTTCTAGGACCAGGAGGGCTGCATTCAGCCGGCATGTTTTTTTTTCATCTGTTACTGAAAGTAACAAACTTACTTGGTAACAATCTTACTAAGTGGGATTTCTGGAAGGTAGCAAAATAAATCTGATTTACGAGAAAAGACACTGAGATTCGCTGACACTGAGGTAAAGGTTGATGATTTCAACACAGAACGATCTTGGGACAGTATGTGGCTAAAATTTACAAGTCCTGCTGATTCAGGTAGTGAAACATAACTGAAATTGTGGTAACAGGGATAACTGTTATAACGCATGCTGCACGAGTTTGATTGTTGAACTGCTTCCTCATACAATTAGTCTTTTCAGTTTCTCCATCTGTGTATCAGCACAAATGCCCGTGTATTTAACCACATGTGTTTAATCATTGTTGAAGTCTTCAATTTGCATCCTTTCTACTGACAGACAAGCCACAGGGAAGATGATTAAGGAAATGAATACATCTTTATTCTGTGGTGGCATCTTGAGCTGGGGCACTTGTTAAGTATGTGTGCATGGTATGTATATATGCATGGTATGTGTGCATGAGGATGGCTCCCGTTCACTGCGTGGACCTGTGACCCAAAGCAGTGTCCCGGCTGGAATGCGCGGGCGGTGCAGACGCTGCTGCCACCCACAGCTCCTAAGGGACATTGCCGTGTGAGGCAGAAAGATTGAGTCTGCTTTGCTGTCAGCTACCAGCTTCCACGTACAAGCTAACATACCAGATGTTCAGTGTGGGACCCTTAAAGAGCATTGTGTAAGTGTGTTTTGTTTCACTGATAGAATGCTTTGGATGTTTTGTCATAGGTGATGATGACAAAAAGTGGGTTAGACTCATAAGTTGATTCTTTTCCTGTAGAAGATCCTGGTCAAGGAATGGGGCTTAACAACCAACATGCAACCCCTCTTGATGTTACAATGACACTGTTATTAAACATTTCTAAGTGTTGTCTACAACATCTTACAAAGATTGAGGCTCCGGTAGGCTAAGTGGTGTACAAAATTGCCTGAAAGTGCAGGTGCCTGTGCCAGCTTGCAATATGAAGCTTGATTCATTGATTGATTTTTAAATTAAGGATATAAATTCTGTGAAGACAGGTGTATAAATAGTTTGATCAGTAGTTTGCATACAGACTTTGGTTGCATAGGGGCAGTTGCAAAGTTCAATTCATTAGCTGCAGTGCTCAAGTCATTGCTGGTTAAGATCTGTTCCTGAAAATGATTGAGATGCTCTAGAGACTCAGATTCTGTGATTGCACTGCACTGGAAAGAGCAACATATGACTGTATTTATCGAATCATATAGTATAATACAAAGGCAATTGACTCCTTTGTTTCTCTCTCTATCAGTACCTCCAAAAGGAAATACAAATAAAGATCCTGTAATATGTCAATTTCTGTTCATGCAGTGCTTCAGGAAGGGCCATGCTGGGACTGTGTACATAACGATGGCTAAATCTGAATTTGCAGAAAGTACTTAGATATTTTTTTTAACAGCAAATTAAAACATGGTAGTGTCACATCACAATAATCACACCATAAAAGTCAGCAGTATTTGCTGAATGTCTTAACAGAACATAGCATAGATCTTAGTAGATGCTGTTTATACTTTTAAAGTAATTTTGTTGCCTGACGAGGTCAGTATTTTGGGGAATTCTTTGTCCTCTGAAAAGACCTTGAACTGAAACCAGTAACTTAGTCATAACAAATAGAAAAGTATTTGCACATTGTAAGAGATAGATGTTAAAGGCTGCAAAGGTGAATGACATGATTTACTATTTTCTATTACAAGTAAAATAAATATTAAGTATTATATAGTTTGATATTAATATTTTTAAATATGCAAAGAAAAGTAGAGCAGTAAAAGGATTGGCATCAAATTTCTTTGTATGTTTGTTAGTCATAACTTGCCTATAAGAATTACATGATCTTTTCAGAAAAATTTGCTTCTGCGGAAGCTTTACTCCTGAAGTAAAGACAAGTTCTGTTCAGTTACGAAAAATAGGTGAGACTGGACTAGCTCAGTTCAGCTCTTACCATTTCCATATGTTACTGATCCTGGATGTGCGTGAGTATCTGCTGCATTATTATGTGGGTGTTTTGTGCCATTCATTTTAAGGTCTAATAGATGAGATCACAGATGAAAAATTGAAGCAGGTGATTGCTTTGGAAAATTATACTGGGCTCTGTTATGCCAGAATAAAGATTCTTTGTTTCTTCCAAGTATATGTAAAAACTAATATCTAAACAAATATAATAACTGTAATAGTCCACAAATTCTTTTGTCTAAAGTCTTCAGTACTCACACAGAATTACTAGTGACTGCTATGCAGTTGTGAGGTACAGCTTTCTGGGATGCCTTTACCACTATTATTGTAGATCTTCTCACACAGAGTAGTTGCTCTCTTTAAAAAGCTGAAACTTTCTGAAAATTAGCTCGTAGTAGCAAAACCTTAATGTGACTTCACAGTTGCTTTTTCATCTTTGATCATTCTGCACCAGGGTTGTTCAGTGGCTTCATAGCCACACTGAATAGTGATGTAAGCAGTGCTATAGTTGCAACCAGGAAAAAAAATGCCCTTGAGACTTTCAAATCAGACAGAAGAAGAGTGGTTTTTTTACAAAATTATATTGAGTCTGCCCACCTTAATTTGACTTCTGAGTATTGTCAAGGGGTCTTACTTAGTGTTGCATACTTGATAGCTGTGAAGCTGCCTTTGGATTGCTTTGAAGGTTTGTGAAACAACTATAGAATTTTCATAGGGTGTGAAAAGTGTGCCTTCATGCTTTGGTAATTCAGACAACAGCTGAAATGGATTTCCTTTAGACTATCAGAAATATCTCTCAAGTAAGATAGGGAGGCGGATTCTTTGCAATGACCCTGTGTCATCTTACACCACTGTTATGAATAGATACATAACCCTCTGTGATGAGAATCATGTCATTCTGTAGCCAGCCCAGGCAGAGGAGAGCAATGTTAACAGCCACACTATTGCTACAGTATAAGTGACAATGCAAAGTGAAAAGCAGAGGAAAATTGGACCAAAGGTCCCTACAAGATGAAGTTCAATAAACAAGAGAACAGAAAATTCCACATAAAAGCATGTGCTCAGTCTTGACACTGCTCTTACAAATGTCTAAGAAAACTACCTACTGTGTCTGCTCTGCAGCTTCTATGTGATGGATATGCTATATCCTTCGTTTACACTGTTGGCAACTGCAGTGTCTGCCTCAATAAATTAAAGCATTGGCTAGAAATTACAGTGCTCCTCCTTGATTCATAAGATAGGGGTAACATGCTTCCTTCTAGATGAACAAAGTGAACAAATGGGTTTAGAGATAGTAACCCCTTTGTGTTGGTCCCTTTATGCGCAGGTCTGTAAGTGACTGTTGTATCATTTAACTTTTTCTAGTTACTATATCATGTATTACCTTCTTCATTATAAGTAACAAAAACAGAAAAAGAGGAGAGCATGATATGGTACTGGATCATAAGGGAGGTCTTGAGATCTTTAGTTCCTCTTTTGTATCCTCTTGTTTGAAAGGTATTATGTTATTGCTTTCCTAGCTGGTACAGTTTTGTGCAGTGAAAAATACACATGCACCAGCCTTACTGACAGCATATAAAATAGTCCTGGCAGGCTTTGGGCTTTTGTCCAAGTCAGTTACACTTTTGTTGCATGCTAAAGAAGAAAAGAAATAA